TCTTGAACATGCCTGTCGTTACCATCTTTGGGGGCACGCATTTGTTCTAGGTCAGCGAATTGGTCCTACCGTGTTCGATAAAGTCATGGATCGATTTTTGTGCCGCGCCATTCCTGTTGCAGACCCTATTCTTACATTGTATCAACTCACGGCTGGTGAGATGCCTCAGGCTGTTACCACGACGGCCTATGGCCGTGGTAAGTGCTCTCCCGAAGTGTTAAGTATTCTTCTATCTTACTTGGTTCAGTTTAGTCCTTTTCTTCAAATACCCAGGTAGAACCTTCTCGCAATAGCGAAAATGCAGAATTATGCTTTTTGTATCTCGGTTTTTACTGGGTTAAGGGGGTCGAGAAGCACTGCTCACTCGTAATTTCCAAGTTGAAATTTTTATAGCTGCATTTATCCACAGAATAGTGCCACCACACATCGGTTCTTGTTTGAGATAGAAGTTTGAATCACTGGTTATTTTCGTATTCAAGGCACGGATAATGGCGAATGGCGCCCACATTTGGCTATGATACTCGCGGCTGAATCTACACAACCAGAACTTGCACAAAGCGCATTAGAACGTCTCGGTGACAGTTTGTTGTCCAGGCGCCTGGTTTATGCAGCACATTTGTGCTATCTACTTATGGGTCCTTTGTGCGAACACAGCAAGACAGGTCATGGGCAGCCGGTGTACAAACTTCCGGAGAAGATTTGGCTCCTGGGCATACCTCCTGGTTCTACGGACAATTTCGCGGATTTGTCGGCGTCCAACTCTTTGTCAGCAGCCACCGAAGCGATTCAACTCACCGAGATTTACGAGTATGCAATGAAGTTGGCCAACAGAAACTATCGCCTTCCTCAATTGCTAGTACGTGTGACCCTTATACCGAAACACGTTAGGTGTTCATTTAACCTTAACTGCGACTGTTTCTATGAGAAGGCATTTTTTCATCCCTTTGCTAGCCTTTCAAGTTGGTTTACGCAACGCGTTTACTTGATGCTGGCCTCACCGATAAAGCCAACCGATATTTGACCGCAATTGGCAACGAGTTATTGCTAGAAGCTGCGGATGTTGACTTCAGTGATGGATCCAGCGTACCACCAGTCTTTTATAGCTTGGTAGCCAATTGCCTTCGTCTGGCAGAACCTTTGCAATATCATCCGGAGTTGGATGGTTTCGAATTGACTGCATTTGGAGGTGTTTCACGAAGCCTTGGAACACCGACCGCCGGGCGTGGCAACATGCGTTTTGGCACTCCACCTACTCCTACTGGGGCCAGTACAAACTGGTTGGATCGCCTGCGTGAGCTGTACCTGGGAATGCACAACAGGGTATGTCTTTTTTTCCTAATCAGCTGCTCTTTTTGACTGCGTTTGTGTTTTACGGTACACTGTGTTTCGTTGTAGGTGGCATTCATTTAGGTTTACCGGCCTGCATAATATGAACACTCATCCGTTGCCGATGCCTAATCATTTTGACTTCAGATGAACATTCATGTGTTTCAAATTTATTCACTCTTACCATGAATTTTCGCAAGTGCTGTATCCTTATGTCAAGCATTTAAGACAGGGCCATCTACAACTAAATCCATCGAGAAGAGAGTGGACCTTATCGTGGTGAGATGATTTGCGTACCTCTTTAAGCCATTGAACTGTCCTGGAGGATGCTCATGCAGCATCCACAGAGTCTCTCCCACCAGATTGATTAGTAGATGGAGGTCTTGCAAGCAGTCTCCTGGCCCGCCAAGCTGGGGTCCGGGACAAGTGTGACAATTTGTTCCCTAAATTTGAGCTCCTTGATTATTCTAAATTCAACCACTTCTACCTTGCGGCCATACTTTTGAGCCACAGGTTTTGGTTGGGGAACCTAATCGTACTCCCGTCTATGTTTGGGCGCATCTTAGCCCACTTGCAATCATGCAATTCACAGATAAAAGTACCTTCATTCTACATCAGTCCGATCGCCATTTTCGTTTCATACAACAGGGCCGATAGGCGATAACACGTGACTGCTGGCGCCTCCCATCTTTTTCCATTGTTATCTGTTAGCCATCGTTCTCTCCTTTGAAATTCACTCTTATGTGGATCCCAGATGTGGGCATTTCAGTCAAAAACCCATGGAATTGACACATTGCACGACACCATTCACATTCACCGCTCCGCATCTGCCACTTAAACCTCGTTCTCCTTTTTTTATATGCAGTCTTTAAAGTGAGAAATATCAGACAGATCAGCCAACAAGCTGCTCTCGTACGTACTCTAGATATTCTAGCGATTGACGTTTGTTGCATCTCTAAAACTCAAGTAAATAATCTAATTTCGGTTGCTGATCGGCCGACACCCTGTCTCTCTAGATACTACAAACTATAACCCTTGATTGATTTTGAAACTGCCGCAGCGGTTGCGCCGGTGTTGATATAGCATTAATTTTTCGAGCTGAAGTTTATTGTTCGACTGGATACCCGTAGACAGTCGCCTCCTTGCTTTCCCGCTTTCTACTTCGATAAAAACTAGCACTGGTCGAAATACTGAACGCTCCTTGTTAATAGTGTCTCTTTACTCATCTACGAATTATGTCCGACTTACTGAAAGGCACCGTCTACCTATAGCTGACCATCACCTTGTGCACCACAAAGAGGTCAGATGTAGTCGTAATAGCGGGTCATTAAAAACATGCTTCGCTGATAGTCTGAATGCAAAATACAATTATAGGGATGAACGTCTTATGCAACGGTGTGCCGATCATTAGCTGTTTCTCAGAAGTACTGGGTTTTGACGCAGTGGGAGCCGTTGTGCCACCTCCCATCCAACCACCGCTGAGCAGCTCTGGAGCAGCTCTGATCGAATCGCCGTCAGCTACCGCTGACGCTGATCAATCCGTGACTGTCAATCTTTCTGGAATGCGCAAGTCGATTCAGATAAGGCTCCCGTTTGGCGTAGATTTTTATTAAACCTCCCTGTAAACTCTGCTTAGTAGTAGAAAGCTTTGTGAACCGCGATTTTGCGATTTTGACTGTATTAAAAGCGGCCTCCTTGGCGGACTTTGCCTGTAACTAGGATGAGATAACCAGGGCTACGTTTGACGGCAGGAGGTCTGCTTGTGGGGCTTCTCAGCACACACACGAATGCCACTGGATCTCAGGATGTCTGCTGTCATTTCTTGACACGATGCGCCCCCTCCTTTCTGGTTAGGAGTATACTTCTGCCAGACGATCGAATAGACGTAGCCGGTATGTTGACTGATAGGTGTGGTGTGACTAGGTCTAAGAAATGGCAGGGGCCAGTGCAGCTGTGACTACACAGAAGCTGTTCCAGCTAATAAACAAACAGAGCCTAACCGGCCTTCCCTAAGTGAGTTGAGCAAAGATAATATTTAAATTGTAATATAATATAGCTACCAGCATGGAGACTGCTAGGCAGAATATTTTCAACGGTAGTTTAGTTGATTTACGGCCGCTGTACCCATGTCTTTCCTTCTACATCATACCAGTATGCCTTTCTGCATTGAAGCGCCTTCGAGCTAGTAGAACAGATGAGCTTCTCCCAGCTTTGTTCATAGGTGGAGGAGAATCTTTGTGCTCCTATTAGACTAGGCTGTTCATGCTTATTTGGGAATAGGAACGTGTTCCGGAGGGTAGGGGCCAATCGTCGGTCGTACCCGTGTTCACGCGTAGGGGTATAAGTCTCCCAGCTGTCAGAACACGGCTATAGGCTTCCCTCATATTGCGACGCCCATTTTAGGCACATGGGACGCAAACCCGACAGTATCAAGGAGGATTTCGATCTGGAAAAGGGTGCATTAAGCATATCTTCCCTTCAATTCAAGTGGTTGAGCAGCGTCATTTATACCACCGATCGAAGTTTTCGACTTTTAAGGGGCCTTTGGCCCTGCTCATAGACTAACTCTTCTAAATATTCCTGGCCTGGGGAAGATGCACTTGGAGTCTGCGGGCGTTCTTTGTCCCCTTAATCCCATACCCCACTTGGGTTATGGCGTACAGTGAGCTATCCTGAAGTTTCCTGACAATCAGTACCTCTCTGGGTTCTCCTCTGTTTTCAGTTTTGTCATGGGTGTCCTCATGGAGTGCACACTTCAATGGACTATGAATTTATGTATCGAAATCACGTCTTGGGAGAGATAAGCGGTCATGGATTTTTGGATTACGTAACTGTTTGGCGATTATTTGTCCGCACAAATGTCTTAGTATCGGAATATCGGAGCCCATCCCATGTTTCGGAATGTGTTTTGCATCTTCAGAGTGCAATCTCACTTCAAGGCTTTCCATTCCTTTGTGTCTCTTGGAAATTTCAGAATGAGGAACTTGAGTTTGTTGTTCTGTTCACTTGTCTTGGCAGCTGCATTTGCCGTGATGGTACTGTGACAGGTGATGTTAGTACGCAGATAATCGAGGTACGAGGAGGGTTTCCTGTTCCGACCGACAGTTGGGGGAAGTTTTGCGGCGGAGAGCCGTAACACGGCAACGTGAAATGAAAGCATTTACTGTTAAACTGAGTGCTGTGGGATCTTCGCACCTTCTTGCCTGGGTCCCACGCTATCCTGCAGGACTTGGCACGCATTGTCATTTCATAGCCGGTTGCGTAGCTAAAGTTTGCTTGTTGTTATACTTTGCGTTTCGGTCGGATGAGGTTTGCAGTGGACGTTGATCCCACTGATGGCGCCTAACTTTGACGTGATACTCAGGTGTATTTATTTTAATGCTGCCTGTAGGTGTAGGTAGCTTATCCTTGCCTTTTTTCCCATAGGGACATAAGGCTTTTTGGCAACAAGTCTCTGCTGTTCCCTTTGCTTTCGATCTTTATTAAGTGTGACAGGTGATGTTAGTACGCAGATAATCGAGGTACGAGGAGGGTTTCCTGTTCCGACCGACAGTTGGGGGAAGTTTTGCGGCGGAGAGCCGTAACACGGCAACGTGAAATGAAAGCATTTACTGTTAAACTGAGTGCTGTGGGATCTTCGCACCTTCTTGCCTGGGTCCCACGCTATCCTGCAGGACTTGGCACGCATTGTCATTTCATAGCCGGTTGCGTAGCTAAAGTTTGCTTGTTGTTATACTTTGCGTTTCGGTCGGATGAGGTTTGCAGTGGACGTTGATCCCACTGATGGCGCCTAACTTTGACGTGATACTCAGGTGTATTTATTTTAATGCTGCCTGTAGGTGTAGGTAGCTTATCCTTGCCTTTTTTCCCATAGGGCAACAAGTCTCTACTGTTCCCTTTGCTTTCGATACTTTATTAAGGCTTTCTTCCCTCATGGCTATATGGCAGTTAAGTACCGATATGCAATACTAGTGTAATGCGGTCAATGATGATGATTCTGCAACTACTCAAGCCCTGATATCAACTCCACTGGAGGTAGACGGTCCTACTTAGTTGTTCATTTCTTCGAATGTATTGAGGTCTGTATTTTCTGAATGTTTTCTAGCCAACTTGATGGTTTGCGGCAAGAGAAATCTTAAGTCGGTCAGCGAAATACACCCTTGCCGACACCACTACCCAATGTTATCGGCTGCACCCGTATCCTCAGCGTACTCAGTGGGTCAAGTTGTGTAAACCTTGGCTGGTCTGTAAGCCATACATGATCTAAAGTTGCTACTGTTGCCGCTGCCGTTGCTGGTTTGTGGACACCTGGGGATCCTTCCCGGACCGGTGGTCTCAGTGTCCTTGGGGCGACCACTGTGAACGGAGGAAAATAAAAATACCCTAGGTACGTTAGTACCTGGCTCGTATCGATAGCACCTCAAAGAGTTCACATCTATGAGATCATGATTCGAATCATCGTTTTTGTAAGAGGGTTCTTGTGCACGAAAGTATACCGTTGCTCTCTAAGGGACGTTTAGGGAAACGGTTTCGTTATGATATGATATGGAGGATAGTGAATGATCGCATTGAACAGTGTCAGTTTTAGGTTCCCACAAGAAAGGTGCAGACGTATTCAACCGAAATAGGATTAACCATAAGTGGCCTCTTTTTAGACATGATTCCTCTTGAGGATGGTCTTTCCAGAGGTTGACGCTAACCTATTACCCTTCGTTAATCTCGGCGACCAAAAAAATCAAGCGGATTTAGTCTTTAGTATTTCAAAAGAACGTTGCGGTTTTCTTGCGCAGTTACACGACCTGTTTAGGTAGAGGAGATCCACGGACCAGCTTCCGGTACGAAGAGTCATAACATGTTTTCGTTTACCCTGGACGGAAAATCCTTTTTGTACTCAGCTGAAACTTTTACTCGTGCGTTCTAAGTTACACCATCGATTGGTTGTTTTCTATGGTTTTTGGTGCTATTGCTTCATCGGCTTATATCCGCCGCTGCCTTCCAGCTCCGTCGGCCACATAACGGATCAACAAATCTTACTTCGCGTACCCCAACTCAGCTACAGGCAACCACAATAAAAGAGGAGGTTGCTCCAATCCAGCATCCTATTCACCGGTCTGCAGCTGAAAACCCACAAACCACTATAGACAACTTCCATTTTGATGTACCAGGTGATCCACATCTTTACTCTTCATCTGCGGTTGGTAGCTCATCATCTAGTCATCCAGTTTCTGCCTATTTGGTTCCGGCACAAACACATGAACATCGTCAAGCACACCAACTAGAGTCTTCCAGTCCGCCCTTTAATCAATCTCCACCTGCCGTGTCAAGTTTGGAGGTCAGCAGTCATACCATTAGTTCTGCAAACTGGCCCCCAACTGCGTATTCCCAAGCCCCACAAGGACAAAGTCAGGTTGTTCGCGATACGACGAAATCGGTAAGTTCTCGTTTTTGCTGCCGTTTTCGGGTGGTAAGCAGTCCCCCTAACAAAAGTTTCTGTCGGGTCCGCTTTTTTCATTAATTGCTGGAGGAGTTTGACACTTTGGGGAAGGATTATTCAAGCATCAAATCAACTAGTTGAATATTGTTCTTAAGAATGTATTGGATCTATTCATAAACTGCCAATTCGAACAGGAAACTCATATGCTGTACGTTTACTTCAATATCAACTAACCCCGGGCTTAGGATAGAATTGCTTGTGAAAGACTGTTTTTTACTGTCCACACAAGTGAATGTGAAAAAGTCTTCGCACACATTTGGTTGAAAACAACACAAGCAATAGCTTAATTCGAAGCTTGTGTAGTCTCCAGTTCACACCGTTGGCGTGCACATCTGTGACTGACTGTTTCAGTGCGTTCAAGAAGCTGGGCTAAAATAGGCTTTTAAGCAACTGAACTGATGTGATGTGCACAGCTGGTTGAGGTGACCACCCCCCCTCCACACCCAAAACACATTGTGAGCAACTGATGAGGAGCGCATTTTCCGACGAGACCCATTTGAGTGCTGATCTGACAGCCAAACACCTGGTATAACCAGTCACACGATCCAGGCGAAGAAATTACTGCTTCTAGTTGAGCAAAGTATGTCACACCCACTCGGCCAACCGCTATTCCTTATGAAGCCCTCATGTGATTTTTGCTTGTAAAACTGAATAGACTGTTGTCCATATAGCACCGAATGCACGGATCAGTTAAGCGTACCTTCATCAGCAGCACTTTGCTTAGCTGATTTCCTGAAGTTTCACTAGGAAGTTCCGGGTGGAATGGGCTAACCTCCAATTGGTTACAGCGATGTGACCGACTCGGACATTCACCAAAGGGCTGTTCATACGGAAGTGTGAATACTCCCAATGCTACATTTTATGATGCGCTTTCAGAGATGTTTTACTGATTGAGGGTGTCTTATGGTGAAGATTTTTCGCTAGTTGAAATCATTTCCTGCATAGAGGCGATTGTATTTTACCCAACGTTTAAGTGGTTGCTTTTCATCACATTCGTCTAGCTAACCCTTCCTATAGCAGTGATGAGCCCTCAGGTTATTTTTATATTTTTGCCTCGTACGTCAAGAAGACGAGGAAGCATGAGAGCTTCTGGGAAAACTTCCATGCATGGACGTGCAGCTCTATGGGTTTTTAACGATACTAAACTTTTGAACATAACAAAAGGTTTCAAGGTCATCAGAATCTGTTCCACAATTTCTAACAACTTTGCTTGATTGACAGAATATACTCATTCGCAACTTACATTGGTGTTATCGAGGGGTGCAACGGATTGTCTCGTTTGTGATGTTTCTCCACTTTCCTACACTAGTGCTCAGGTAGGACCGAAGATTGCTTGAAACCCAGGAACTACACTTGTGCGATGAGCCAAAAGAAGGGCTAAAAATCTAAACTAACCATTTGCATCGTTAGCAAATAGCGGTATCTGGACGGATTGTTTGCTACTCAACGTCCTAATCCTTACCTAATTATGCTCTATCGGACTACCTTAATGTCAGCTTTTTAGTCATTCATCCATTAGTTGCACCTAACTGGACACGTTTGGCTGTGGTTAGCTTCACGCAATACCTACCTACACCTACTGCATGCAGGTATTGACCATAGTTCCGCTTGGCGCATATGTGTAGATTGTACTGCACCACAGTGATCCGATCCTGTAATACGAGTCAGTAAGTTTTCTACTCGAGGTAGAAGACTAACGGAGACATTTCCGTATTTGTCAGTCTCCTGTGGAATTATGAGTACATATGAGAAATACACTCATTTGCAAATCAATTTGGTTTTCATGAGAGACTCAACTGAATTTCTCGTTTATGATATTCTACAACTGAATGTGCTGCACACAGGCCGCCTCATGTTTCAGTTGGCGCGATATTTTTCTCACAGAATACTTTTCGCTTGGAAGAGTGAGGAGTGGAAGTGGTTCAAAGTCGGTTAGATCATAACTCGACAGCAGAGTCTGGACACACTGACTAACAAAGTTCTTAAATGGATTATTATGCAATTGAAAGCAGTTGGAAGCACTGATAGTCATGGTCACATTGTTAAGTCCGTTCCTGCTTCAAAGCCACCACTCTCGGTGTTTATCTTTCACCAACTTTATTGCGATAAAAATAGATTTGCACGTCTTCAGTCTGGCAGCCTCAGCTGCACTAAATTGATACATACAACCTCCCTCAATAGATGGTCTTCCTCCCCATATATTGGAAACTGGAACCACAGGAGCTTAGTGCATGATTTTCGACTGAACGGCTGCATTGAACCACACTATATCCTTTCCTCTACTCCATCTTTGGCGTATTAGTAGATCAAAACAAAGTTTTCAGTGTCAGCGCTTCAGCCGCGAAAATACTACCCGGAACGTTCGCAATTCGAACCCAATCCTGACATCTCAACCCTTCCTGTCCCGGCTTTGGCAACATGGCAGTATCTTAGCCTTCGTGTTTCAGTCCGGTGACATGGGAGCTTGGCTCTGAAGGGGTGTTATAGGTTGTTGTGAATCGTGCTAATACAGGTTGAAGCTCTGAGAACAAGCCAACGGCCCACAACATAAACCTTCCCGTCGATATTATTTTTGTATTTCTATTTGTGCATGACTTCCCGTTTGATTTCACATTGGACTTTTGGGGCTCTGGTTTGTTGATGGAAAATTTAAAATACCGCATCACTGATCAAGTGTCTGACTTCACTGGCTGGAATTTCGTGTTTCCTTTCGCGACGAATGCCTCCCACTCATTGCATTATCGAACGCTCTGTGGCTTACTCAAGTTTTGCATTGTTGTTGATCTCGCTTGCAAGGGATTTTACCACAACTGTCTTTTGGCCTGTATCCTCGCTCATTTTCTCGTGTTCTTTCAGCTGGACCGAGTGGACTCCGGTACCCCAGTGAATTCGCAACATATTCAAATGCATTACTCTCCTAACAGCCATCTTCACCACCAGCCGTATCAACCAGTGCGGTTACCTGATGAGGGTTGCACAACACACCACACTAATCCGAGTTCAACGACACCCGTTTCGTATTCCCAAATGATCGGGGGTGTTACTAGTCAATCCTCTGTTTACAATCATTCCGATGCATCCGATACATTCGCACCACGCCAGCACCCCACACCACTGTCAGTCGATCAGCCGATGCAGAACAGCATGTTCTTTACTCCATTCGCTCCTAGTCCCCCACCAAATACACCTGGATCAGGGAACACTGCAGCATTTGATTACTTTGCTGGATTGCAGGTATGTATGCTTTCGAAGAGCGTATGTACTGTCTTTTTTCATTTTGATATAGTTTTCTGCTTTGCGGTTGGTTGGATTCCCCAGTTTAGTCGCACACACTGGGAGTGGTAGTCAACACATTTTAGTATCTCCTTCATTTTTACCGTTTTGTGATTCCTGTGTCAAGACCCCAACGACTCCAGTTGTAAACCGTGTGGTGTTAAGCACTTCTGACATGTTCTGTGAAATCACTACAAATGCGTAAGGTGGATAGCTCTTCTGAAACCCGCGGATCCGTTAGTTGCATTTAGCTTTTCTGGCTTCCGTTACTATAAAATACCCGTTCCCCAAACCCTCTAGAACTCTGAGAGTGAAACATATATCATTCCAATGGACTCAGACAGTTGCTATTATTCTGGTTCGTCTCTTGTCTTGGCTTAGTGTCTGTTCGATTGCATTGTTGGAATGAAACTACTGAGAGGAGGGCACTTCTGACCCCGTTTGTACACATCTACTATCACCTTTATCCCAACCTCTTTTAATCCACTCCGTTTGCGTGATCCAGATACCATCCTTAGTAGGCCTAGTTAGTGCCAAATTAAACGCGCAAATTGAATTGTGTGCATCCTAGATGACCAATCAAGAGGCGATGTATTCAATCATGAAAACAGCTTTCTACAGGTAGTGCGTTGATTAACAGGCGCCCTTTAGTTTGTTACGGCAACACTATCTGCCATCACGCACAGTATGTAACGTTCTTATCCTTTGGTTTGGCTCGGGTGTTTGACTAATTGTTTCCCGGGTTTCTTTGAAGTTGTGGCAACGGGATAAACCCACTAATTTTTAAAGTCGTAGCTGCTACGTAGTGATGGCTTCCATGGGTTCTTTCCAGCCCCATTAATGATTTTCTTTGTGCTTAGGTCGGAAGCAGATCGAGGACAGTCTCAGGTGGCTCACAAAGTTCCCAGACAGGAGCACCTTCTCCGCCTGCTCACGGACACCCACAGGTATGTGTATCGAGTAAACTACCTGTGCCATCGGTACTTGTCTAAACGTTTACGTGGCACGATTCAGTGCGTCGTAATATCACAATGCCCTAATGTCATGTGTACTGAATGCTTCGATTGATGGTTGATGGTATTTTGACGGATTCTGGTTGTCTTTCTGAAGTAGACTGAAGGCATGTTACTTTCAGGGGCAACCATAATAGGCCTAAAAACAGCACCGTACTCGTTAAGCAGTACTTTGACGAGACAAAAAAACGAGTGTGGAATTTCACTAGCATACGATGAATTCAATCATCTCACTAGGTCAACCATGTTGTATCGACTAATCATAAAGTTTATCCATTGGGATTAACGCATCTTCCGCAAATGCTGTGACCTTGTACAATATGGATTTTGGGAAGTATATCATAAGCTTTTGTTAAATGCCCCATGACGTCAACTATATTTGGTATGTCTCTTCACTCGGAAGACAGACATCTGTGTTCTACATCAGTGGTTCAGAAACATTAGCAAGCGCATCCCCTTTTGAAGTTGGATAAGGTGGTAGTATATTTCGCTCCAAATGGTTGTGGTGCCAGCGGAAAAGTGCTGTGACCTTGTACAATATGGATTTTGGGAAGTATATCATAAGCTTTTGTTAAATGCCCCATGACGTCAACTATATTTGGTATGTCTCTTCACTCGGAAGACAGACATCTGTGTTCTACATCAGTGGTTCAGAAACATTAGCAAGCGCATCCCCTTTTGAAGTTGGATAAGGTGGTAGTATATTTCGCTCCAAATGGTTGTGGTGCCGAAAAAAAAGACCGATTCTCCTCCTTGATCATCCCTGGAATGGTTTTCAAATGAGAAACCTTGTATTCCGCGATTTGTCCCTTGAATGCATGTTTCTAGTTTCAGGATTGTGAAATCCTAGTCGCGAGTGGAGTATTGCTGGGTTGCCATCCAGGAAGGCCAGCCCTATTCATACCGGTACCTTTGTGGTGACCACCGATTATTCTAAAACGGGGGTACTGTAACCCGGCTTATATCCATAAGTTAAAGCGGGTTTTGTGATGCAAAGTTGTACTGACGTTTGGTTCCAGAAGAGGAGTTACGATGAGTGTTTGGTGAGGTCCACCAAGAAGGTGATCGTTGTAGGAAAGCACACTTGAGTGGGAGGAGACTGTACGTACCCAGCGCTTCCTTCACACCCATGGCTTTCGTTGTTTATGATGACCGTCGCACTAGGTATGTTTGTCGTTAATAAAGCGCCTGACAATCCTTCTTATGATGAAACATTACTTGCAAAAATGTCTGCTATTTGAAAGTGCTTGCTTCTCAGTGTGGAGAACTCCGGTTTGTCTATGGTGTGAGGAATGTAGGATCAGATTATCTCATTCGCTCCTTAGGGGCTCACTCTTTTGTGCGGGACCACTGTGGTGGACGTTCCTTAGATCTCAGGTCTAGTCGAAAACGAAGGCAATGACAAGCTCTCTGAAGCAGCATTTCTGTCAACACTGACAATTCATGAAGTCAGGACCTTGTGGTTCCGTTGGATCAATATTTTTCCTGTATAACACTTTTCTCCGTGACGTTTTCACCGGAATTTGACCAAATACACGAACCCCGTTCATTCTGAATAGAAACATGTGCATGAAATTATTTTCAATGCTCGGTACGTAAAGATTTCGCATCTCTGTATACTTCAAACCTAAAAGTCCTTTTTCATTGAGTTTTCGACCCATCCCCAAATGACCATTTACAAGCCTAGAGTACTTCAGATGATATCCAACGCGATTTTCAACATACCCTGACGTAGGTTGTAACGTGTTCAATAAATCCACAGTCCAAATGAATGATAGGATCCAGTTTCCTCTATCATCCGGTCCATTGGATTCGGTGCTACTGCAATCTGTTGCCACTACGTAAGCAAATAAAGGAAATCTTTCACTCCACCAGGCAATGTTCAACGAGTATGCGCTTATCCTTCCTGGTTGCTGAATCGCGAACACTATGCGTACATGATGGTTGTGCTCAGTTTCTTTCGCGTGGCAGCTCTCTGGACATGCATATGAATGCACTTAAGCAGATTACTTGGCCCTGTGCTTAGCATGCCTCAAAGTCACGAGGGCTCAAGATGGACCCTTAAACATGCAATAGACAACAAACAGTTAATGATTTGGTGTGGGTGACCCAGAGGCTAAGATCGTGCATCACTATTTCGGTTCATCACCTCACGGAGCGCCTTCAGGTTGACTGCTCACCTTGTTCTGATTATCCATGCACATGTTTCAGAAGTAGATAAAAGAGGAAGCTTCAAAAGCACTCCTCTTCAAATACTGGAGGTGAGAAAATGAAGACTCAGGATTATGATATGTGACGAGCAATCGGGCATTCGGTCGCAATTCTGTCGTTAGTCCTCTATTTTTTCAACTTTTTTAGTCCTTTGCCTCGTCTCGACCGTGTTCATTATTTACCGGTGGTCATAAGCTGAGGAAAAAGCTCATGGTTGGAAGACTTAGGTGAAATGATCTGCTTGTTTCAGCTATAACTTCTTGCGCTTTTATTTTTGGCGTTTTTTCTGAACACAGTCACTTACCAAGGAGAAACCGAGTAACTTCGCAGTAAATTCGACGCAAAATGACTCCGTTACAGAAGCCTCTTCGAGGCCTGTTCTTACTTTCAGCACAACTCATGGGCCGAGTGCTTCACAGGCATCCAAACCGTCCGTCCCTCCTGTCGTTGTTTGCGATTCCGCTGTATCTGGTGATGATTTGGACATTCTCCCAGAAGAGGTGTTTTTTGATGAAGAGGAGATTGTCAAAGGAATAGCTGTGTCGGCTGTTGGGACTGATAAGTTGACTGGTTCATCGCACGTGTGCCGCGGACGTGCGCCTCGGTTTAATGGAAATAATTCACCATTGAGAGCGTGCGGTAGCAATCCGCCTTGCACGACGTCAACCTTTAAACCTCCAAGCCCGTTTGGGCGTTGTTTGTCTGTATCAGTAAAACCACGAATTCCCGGACTTCGACCCTCCCCACTGCCGCCACTCCCTCTACCCGTATTGAGCATCGGTGCCGTCCCCTGTGATCGTTGTGAGTGTTGGCATTCACTGATGTCTTGTGAAAATGACAAGCGGGTTACTCAGGTGATTCATGTTTGAAGCCGTTACATTTGGCCGGAAGTTTTTAGTTTCGAGTTTCGTTTGTTATCTTTTCCTTCAGTTTTTTCCAGCAACAGTGATTATCTGTTACGTTTCGTAAGCTATCTTGTGTGCCAACACAAAAACTCGTGGCTTGACATTTTGGAGTTGGCAGTTACTTCACACTTGCTGATTAGCCGTGTCTTTTTTATTAGTTGTTCTATATTCTGATTATTGCTTTTACGCCACATCAAACCATAGACTTCACGATCTCGAAGTGATAGTGGAGGCCTGGTGAGCCAACCTCGACGTAATTCCAGTTCATTCGACCGGCCGCTGCCCAACGCCAGCCAACAGCTTCAAACGCCCAGGCATATTAGCGGAGTCCAACGTGGTCCAATTAAAGAGGAGCCCCAGAGCACCGAAACAAAGCCTGAGGATGGAGACCATTCTGGAATGAACAACCAGCAGTCCAAAGTGAGTCCATTTTAGTCATTGAACTGCGTAATGTGAGCACCTTGCGATCCGTTCAGTATGTTTAAGCTCATTCACACTTCTCACCCAGGCACTCAACGGCAATGTCCTTGTTAACCTCTTCACTCAATTACACCATTTTGTAAGGAGTTCGCACGCTGACACGCAGCATTTTTTTAACCGAGCTTCCACTCCTTATATATTGTTGGCATCTCAGTTGGCAAATATTCCTTAATACCTATTTGTGGAGAACGTTTAATGGGTTTCGCTAACCAGTTTCCAGTGCAAAGCTGATTAGTGAAAACAGCACAGAGCCACTTCACCACTTGTCACTCACTCACATCAGCATGATGCACTCTAACAATTTTTGACTGAGCGTTCGTGGGGGGAGGTTGATATTACCGTCGAGCCACGAGTGACTGCTCACTATCATATAGTGTGTTCATGGTTGTGCTTTGAGCACCGATATTCACCACCTGCGATGATGATGAGGCTATTTTTAAATGGTGGCGATAGCGAAGTCCACCATTGTCATTCGCGCAGTGATACCGTCGCCAAAACATTAGTATGTGGTGGGTACCCGTTGGACATTTTTGCCCCAGCTTGTTGACATTTTGGTACCATTTGCACGCTCTTCACCTGAAGCTGTTATACTCAAGGACCTCGTGATACACATTCTCTGATATCAATACAACCAACATGGGAAGTGTAGGTATAACGCCCGCCCAATCACGTTTAGCTAGTGTGGCTAGTCGTATCATCGCTTGTCATCAAATAAAAATTGCTCGTACTGAGGAGATTTGGGAATTTCTGTGGAGATTTCGTCCTATAAATGAAGCCGAACGTATGCCGGAAAACCGAGAACTGTAAAGCTGTTTCATCCCTATTGGAAATAATCAGCAGTGCGCATCTCAGGAAACTGCAGATTCTCGAGCCCGCAGCCTCCCGGCTACATGTTTGAACTCAACCGTACAGCCACGAGCAGATTGTGGCTCAGCATAGAGTAGACGAAGCATCCACCACAAGGATTACTGTTAAACCTGTTATCATGGGGCGCAAAAGCTTCACTACATTTTCCATCACGAGTTGAATGTAACATGAAGCCACTGATGTCAGCCCTTTCCCACTGTTTACCCCAACACCACGCTACCGTTCACCACCTTGAGTGAACGGTCCTTGTGCATTTCATGGTTTCTTAATTCATCCTATGCGGTGAACTAGAGTAAGATCTTTGACGGAGGTGCACCATGGTTTCGATACGCGTTGGGCGCAGTTTGTATGTGCCTTATGAAGCCGTTTTTACGATTTCTCTAGTAGTAAATATCTGCACTGCGTCTATCCTGAATTAGTCATATCGCACCGGGCTTCTTGGCCCTCAAGCAATCCAGTCTTCCTTGTACTCTGCTGCAGTAGGAAACGTCCCAATATTGATCAGGTATTGAATTTGCAAAAAACGCGGCAATTAAGTCGATACGAGATGACAGGACGTAAATAAGTGTTTATTCTCACACTGACCCTAACATCAAGCCGGTTATATTGTTCTTCTTCTTAATGCTACTCCAATTAGGAAGGGTGGCTGTCGAATTGGTTCGGTCGTCTCAAACGAAATGGTTCCAAAAACATCCATTTGCCGGATGATTCCAAACCGTCGGTACGTTGTTCTCTGCGACGGCTTTTAAGTTTTTTTATATTTTACCTTAGTGGATTAGTTTGGTCCCAATTACTCTCGTTTTTATGAAAGGAAACCACTCACAAGGTTGTTGATGTTTCTTTAGAATCGTCGCGAAGTTTAGGCTTATTGCGGGATGTAAATTCGGTTTATCACTGCAAAGCCTTTTTTGATCCCTTAATACTAACCTATAGTTTGCATACAATATGACTTATCAAAAAGAAACCTCTTGTGTATAGGGACGCGGCAGTTGTTCTCCGTAAGTTTATTACTGAAACTCCTGTGCGGCTTGGGGCAATGAATAGGACCCATACATGCGACCCTGTCACTGCAAGATGGTTTACTCTCCAGTATTATGCAGTTCATCTTCCGGTAACCATTTTAATGGGAACCGAGGATGCATAGATTCCTGGGGACGATAATTTGGCAAATGGTCGTTTGCCAACCAAACACAGTGTAAAACAATATGAAACGAAACTGCGTTATAGCAAAGAAGACAGACCACTAAATTACTTCAGAAACGCAACAGAAGTTCTTGCGTTTGTGCTTCGCTGTCAGGTTTCCTGTAGTTTTAGAGCAAATCAGTGGATTTCCAACTGACTTGTTTCGAGTACCCGTGAGATTCGTAAAGGGAGCACTCTCCCCCTGTAACAGTTCAGTTATTCTCAATGCTCCTCTGTCATTCTGAGAAATTTTACTTCATGCAGACTACATTTCACGTCCCCCCCAATGGGCAATATTTCGGAAGCATACCTTCTCACCCTTTTCAGTCTCGTATCGCAGCGATTTCGCCTTGTACAGAGTACTTTTTTCCTATGGTTGACGACATTCTCCAATTAGGATAATTGTTTGACCTCAGGCTAGTAGGTAGTTTTCAGTTTGCCCTTGCTTGCGGAATCAAAAACTTGTGGATCCATCCGTCACGGAATAAGCGACAGTCTTCCCTCTATCCTGGCACCGTTGGTCTGTTGATTCCAAAACAAAGGGGGGGGAGGGGTGGAAGTACTGGACTCGTTTCACTCTTATTAGAGCTCATCACTCCTCGACCACCGACAACTGATCAAAATTGTGCAGCATGTTTCTAAGTATCCGTGGCGCCACCTGACTGAGAATTCCTGACAGGGGGTCAGTCGATCGGCACAACCAGAACAGTTATTGAGTCATCCTTCGAGGCGTCTGGCAGAGCAATCGTGTCCTTCAAGCTTGAACACAATCGCCTATGCAGACGCGATAATCCAGGTGCGTCCAGCTTTCACTGGTGGAGCAGTAGTGACATTCACCTCACGTTTTAGATGTCTGAAGTTTAAACTCCTATACGACCAAGTTGAGCTTCAATATGAGCGAAACTGGAGTCCAGGGTTTTTCTTCCACAGGAGGAGGACTGCTCAAACCAGAGTGATGTGAATTACATGAATCTCGGAATCCCCTACAACCAACGGATGAATTCGGAACATGTTACGAGACTCTATAACCTAGTCACCGATCGCTGCTATTCACCTTTTGGGTAAAACAGTGTCGTCACCATAATCAAGTCACCGTACCCAGTTGGTGTGAAACAAACGCAAATGCAACTGACGCACTTTCCTACCATAGTAATCGATCGATATCAACATGTCTGTTTAAAAAGTGTCTAGTGGTCTTCGACCAATGCACTCATTTGTATGTCAATCTGCTTTTCACGAGATAGATTCTGTCGTTTAACTCCCTTTCCAGATTGTTTGGGATGATCAGCAAAAGCAGTGGATCGACACAAGTAATCCCCATGGCAGAGAACCGACACCTCCTCCGCCCCCTATGACTTCAGTAAATCTTCCGGTAAACCAACAGTCAATGTTAAATCAGTCGGCTGCTTCCAGTTCCCTGTCGAATCCTCCGATACCTCGTGTGAGCAGTCGTTCACGCTACGTGAATGTTTTGGCCAACCAAACAAGTGGACCAGCAGCTTCCAAGCTGGATGGACCACTGCAGCCTCCATTACCTCCCACTGTGTTCGCGCCTCACTCAGTATCAGCTCATCAGGTTAGTATGAATTCAAATGCTCTTTTTGGGGAACCCTTCTTTCGACGAAGGTTGGGAGACCAATACAAGTATTTTGTTCTCGTTTTTTCTGTACTCCACATATGTCATTGAAATTTGGATTGGGATTGATTTCTTTTAGGAGCTTCCCACTATTCCCAACATGGGTTACTTCGCCCACCCTTCAGGCCCGAATTCTCCCAGCGCGGTCCAAGATGTGAGCTAGGTAGCTAACCAACCAATTTGAAGACAACTTTCTCGCAGAGATTGTTGGGTATATGACACACTGATGTCTCAATTGCCACATAAAAAGATGTGATAGCCTGGAGCTATTTGCCGGCAACCGCGGAACTGTTGTGCAAAATGATGAGTTACTGATGGCCGATCGTCGATGATGAATATCAGCTATGATGTCATATTGAGATGGGCTTGGGAACGCATAGATAGGGGGCATAAAGTTTATCGAGTTATCTAGCATAAAGCGTGAAACCTAAACGCCTTTGGATTCAACTTCCCGAGCGAGTTTTATTGGACCATTTTGACCGTAAGTGAATAGACTTACGCGATTTACAACAGGGAGCTTAACATCTGGACACGTGGTTGTGCGTATATGGCTACCTGATGGATTATTCTATACTTGATGAAAGTATGCATGCACAAGTGCAGCGTGCAAACATTCGTAAATCTATGCACCTGAGCGTCATAGTATTGTCGATGAGGTAATCAGAAACTTGTTAAACTCCTCACTGGTGTTTAGAAAAGTAGAATACTTTGTGATCTAATCATGCACTAGCACTGACCCGAAAACGAGCCTGTGGTTCTCCTTTTGGTGTTGTTAATAGGGTGTTGGTCTCAAGGTTATAATAAGACTGAACTTCGCGAGGAATTGCCTTTGTACACGTCAACAGCTTCAGAGTTTGTTGGCGAAGGTCAAGTCTTGTGCAATAATATTTACTCATATTTTCGCTCCCTAAGATGGAACATTTACTTCGTTCTGCCCCCCATGAATAGTTGGGAATCTTGTAATTAGCGCTCCTATCGGACGTTATATTAATTGACGAGATTTCCTAGCGCGTATTTCCTTACAGGATCGTGTGCAGCACGAGGACAACCTGAGACCGAACCATGGTCACCAGTCTTTGGGTATGGATCATGGCTATCGAACCGGCAACGGGAACGCTAGCTTAGTAGGTGAGCTGCATCAAACAATATTCACATTATCTTCGGAACCATAAACTGCTTTGCCACTGAGATTATGGTCATCATTTTGTTGCTTTTAAGCCCACTCATTGGTGCTCGGGAGCAGATGCTCTTTTCTATCACCTCATCCGAGATGAAGTGACTGCTTTTCATCCATAGTCTGTACAGTTTCCTAATTATGCTCGTAGTTATAGAAAACTACGTTCACCGCACAGAACATTATCTATCGAATCACGGGGATTAAAAAAAGCGCGGGAAGCAATTTTTCAGAGGGAACGGATTGTCGAATTTTTCAGAGAAACCCGCGAAAGATATCATGGGAATAGCGATTTCAAAATTGTTTCTATCTGACTGTCCCAATGTAATGGGGCAAGAGAGATAGTGACAAAGTGCCTGACTCATTGATTAATTCGCACATCAACACATCATCATCATCATTGTCAGCTGTAATAACCGCGTACTCGTCGTACATCAACACAAAACAAGACGCAAAGGTAATGCATACTGCTGCGCTTTCTGTTGGATTGTCACCCGCCAGTCAGCCTCTCGATTGCAAATTCACAAACAAGCCCAACTGTTGACTAGTTTGTTGGCCTTTTGCAGCGCTCACGTGTGCTAAAGCGACGTTGTCCAGTTCGAGCTGAACTTCGTACTACTGAAATAGTCAGAAATTGCGTAACGTTGCTAGCTACTGTGACCGAAAAAACGAGGGGAAAAAGCTGTGAATGAAAAGATAGAAGTGTTATTTCAGTGAATATAGTCGCCAACTGAGTAAGGTAAGCTGTCAGCTATTTTAAGCCGAAGTTATCTGGGATAGTTGATTGCGTAATGTAGAATGGAACTTCAGCACCCCAATCAAACGTTTTCAGTAGGTTTCCATACGAAACTTATCTTTCCCCGTTGGACTCATAAGTAGGCAGTTATTCCACAGTTTTAAATTTCACACTACCGAACAAACCTTTTGATCAATAACTCGAGAGCGAGTTTCCGGTTGGCCACGGAGTCGCATCTTGGTGCTTATTTCGAAGTCGAGTTTCAAATCATGGTGCGAATTCCCGTTGAAGAGGTTGTATCTGAACGCATGTAGCGGTGGTCCTTATCCCCATAGCTTATGATTTGCGTCTCATTTGTTTGACCAGAATTCGCCTTCCAATCTTACTGGTCATGGTTTCGTGGCTAACATTCTTGTAGTGTCCACAACGCAATTATCCGGTCACCCTGTTGAAGTATGCGTGGCAGCAAAAACTCACTATCAGGCGACAAAGAGAAGCACACCTCATTAGTAGAAGTTCAGTCTTACAAGTAAAACTACAAGAAGAGACTCCGTTGGTCAGTGTGTTGTCCGTGAAATCAGTAATAGGCTACAGACTTCACTCCGATTGATACTCATGGGGGTTTTCTTGAAGGAAGTATCCATTTCCAGCACATTACCAGGTTTTCCCTTCATCCATGTCGATTCGTTGTCCCAGGCCGGTTCGTTTTGCCAAACCAAAGCTTCCACATTCTACCGCAGTTGCATCCGTGCTGTGCGCTGTTTTCTCACTTCACAGCTGAATTGTCTATTGCACCCTAAGCGCACATTCTCTGTCTGATTTCTTTCGTAATTTGGTAGTTTGAAACGAATAGGCCAGCGAAAAGTGCACGTATGCGATCGTCGTAAATCGTTCATGCAGTGAATTCGTCTACTGGATATAGTGTTTGCTTTATTCGCATAATAACTTGTGGTTCGTTATCAAGTTGTCCAGGAAAGTATATTCATATGGGTTTTCGTGGCATTAGACAGAAATGGGCTGTTTTGGTATGTTTTGAGCTGGACATGGCACTTACAATTTAAGGAGAGATTGTAAAGCGTTTTACATATATTAGAAGTTGTATTAGTTCCGAGTGTAGTGTGACAGGCGAGGTCAGTGGATCTATCTCTAAGGCTTCAGTCTCGTTTGCTAATTTGACACACCTATGGCGGCAAGTCCCTGAATCTCAGGGGCCTCTGCGAGCAGCCGAGGTGAAACGCTTTTTTCGACGACCGCTGATTCAAAATGATAACTCGTGGAAGCTGGTGCTGGCGAATCCACGACGAGGCAAGTAGAAAACATGTATTCGGTTGGGTAACAGGAACTTTAATCGACAAGCATCTCCAGTACCAAAAGCTGCCGTGGCTTGGTCGTCTATTGCGCATGCCGAAGAAGGTGCTGTTTTCCATGTCCAGTTCAGTGTGGTACAAAAAGTCTGGGTGCTGTCGGTCTAACTCACTTTCCGAGATAAGTCTACGTGATCCATAATGTGAATGCTCGGAGAGGATGCAAGACGTGGCTACTGGTCGATGTCAGTGGTGTCAATTTCTATCCAGATTACCTCGCGATGATTGTGCTAGACTAGCACTAAGTCTCTTTCCCATCTGCTTTTATTCTTTCCGGGGTAAGGCATTCGAATGAATTGTGGTTGTTCAGCAGCGAGGCATCGGTGTTGAACACTGATGCATTGCTGCGAATGATCATGGTGATTATTAGTAGGTCTCTCGAAACTACGATTCCCCCTAGGATTTGTTCCTTTTGGACGTTTTTAAGAGAAAGAATAATGTGCTGCTTCTGAACATCTTCCAATATTTTCTACTGCATCAGTGTTGTTGCGTACTTTATAATGACGTGGAATGATGTCATACAGACAGCCGTGAACCGTGATCAAGAGGTTATCTTGAATAATATTGAAGCACTTCAGATATTACCCTGTTTGTGAATGTATCCCGGCGTTGAGTAGTTGGCCCAAGCCGCTTGATGCCAATCGTCTAACGATGGATCACAAAGGCTTCTGCCTTTTTCATCATCCATTTCTTTCCCTTGTAGTTCATAACTAAAACCGAGTCCTGATGCTCCCTACACATCTTCACTTGAAGCTTATTGACTACTGAGCTGGAAAACACCGGATGCCAGATTGCTCCATACTTCCTGCGGCTTCTGAGGCTCTACCGACCATGTTTACGTGCCTGTTTCTTTTTGTCTTGAAAGTTAATACTTGACTCTAGCACCGCACCATCTTTTGTTTATCTGAGGAGTCGTGGGCTTTCATCTACGTTGATTTTGAAGTTTCTTGTTGTGATCTATTTTCCATTATCGGTATCTTTGAATCACATCCCCGCGCCCCTTCCCATCATCAGCTCCGCGAATATCTCGGAGTGCGTTGTTTTTTCCATGCTATCCTATTTCCATATAAATTCCGCATTCATCAATAACTAATGGACTGTTACTGAGTGTACTGTACTTTCAACGGAGCCGCTATCTGTACCATTGGTTTGCTCCTGTCCAGCGTAGCCGCCGTCCATTGTTGCACACTTTACTTCCCTCCTGTGATGACACATTTCTAGCGAAAATCTTGTTCTTATCTTAGCCGTTTTCGGATGGTTCAGGGCATAGCACTGCTACTCTTAGTCTTTTGGGTTCCCGATAGTCCTACCTTGTGAGGCTCCTTGCAAACCCCTTTCATTGCTGTCTGTATCTTGAATTTAATGTTTGTTGGTGAGTTATTTTGCAGATTTCAGTGTACTTGATCCATACATGAAATTGTCTACAGTGTTTTCCTGGTACATTAAACACGCTCACGGGATAGTAGATAACATGTGCGCACTAGTTCATACACAGGATGATAAGTTCAGCTCCTAAACCTTCTCTTTTTGTAGATAAACCTGAAGCACTACCATAGTAAACTAGCAAACTACGGGGATTATCACAGTCGATTATCCTGGATAGTGGTTTACGGAACGAGCAAAAGCCACGGGATGATCGTGAGAAGTTTGTAAAAGCCGGGGACCGATTGTGTAGGTACATTCTGACTAAACCCACGGAGCATCGCGACATCAGCGAATTTTCGCCACAAAGGGGATATAAACTATACACTAGACAAGTGCATCAGAGGTGGTAGAAACCCACACAAAAATCGTAAAATCCCGTTCGAATTGTACAGTTATTTCAGGTAACTAGATGTGTATGGAACGATGGAATTCTCAGGTAGGGTGATTCGAGCAAGTGTTATTTAAAAGTGCCACATATCTGACCCTTGGATTTCGCCTGTCAGTGGAGAGAAGGGAAATTTCTTCAAGATTGTGTACGTCTGTGTTTGGACGGAACTACTCACATGCCCTGCAGCGGTAGAAGAAAGCCATAGCTGATCCATGGAGAACTATTCAGGGTAGATATCCGAGTGGCACACTAGGTCATTTTGAGGCCCCACCCCCTTGACCACACTAGGGCGTTGACGTTCATAAAGCATTTGAGGATATCTAACATATACACTCATTTGCGGGAGATTCACCTGGAACCCAGCTGAATCTCTTATGATAAGCGAGTGGCACACTAGGTCATTTTGAGGCCCCACCCCCTTGACCACACTAGGGCGTTGACGTTCATAAAGCATTTGAGGATATCTAACATATACACTCATTTGCGGGAGATTCACCTGGAACCCAGCTGAATCTCTCGCTTATGATAAGCCCCATGGAGGGTGAAACTGGTCGTGGGTTGTCGGGGGGCTTTCAACAACCTTATGAGAGGTGTATTACATGTGCACAGTGAAGGTATCTAACTTGACATTCTCCGAAATTTTAGGGCAATCGATACGTACGCCAACACAATGGAAAATAAGCACACTGAATAGCTTGTAGCTATCTAGGACTGTCGATAAATTCTCCAGGCAGTTAGAAATGGAATGCACATCCGAAGACAGCGTATGCCCATATAATTTCAACACTGCAAAGAAGGTCGACCGAACGGCAGCGCAGACTGGTGCAAGAAAATTTCAAGCCAGCGGATACCCGGTGGGCTTCATTAAGCGGTAACTGAGAGCGTCGGCCCCCAACATTAAGATGCAAAATGGAGTGGACCGAAACGGAAGGCATCTCACAAACATCGGATGCAGCTGAATTGGTCAGAAGGGCGTTGGGTTGATTTAACATTAGCATAGCATTCCAGAAGGGAAAAAATTTTGCGCTCAGTATTGACATGATTGAAGGATTGCCTCCCGGCTGATGGAACTAGAGACTGTAAATGACAGAAAATTCAATGCGATAACCATGACAAACCGCGTTGGACAAACAGGGAGTAAACTGTCAACCAGAGTCAACGAACACAATATAGCTACCAGAAGACGATCTACCCTCCCTCATCTATGTTCATCGCTAGTAGTTTGAACACTTAATCATTCGGCCACGAGCAGCTCGAGACTCTCCGGAGTTTCGTGAGATGTGCACTGATAGTGATTCCCAATAAGGATGAAACAGCTGTACAGTGCTTCTCGGCTTTTCAGCATAGATTGGCTTCACTTACAGGACGAAATCTCCACAAGGGACGCTGTCTCCGCTCCAGTGCCAAGTGCCGGAAAAGACCCGGCGACATAGAACACAGCTTTATTGCAACAAGCAAGAGCCAAAGTCACAACGGTCCCGCGCCATTTAAAGGCCACTTTTTTACATTCGATCCAGACTGATCGACGTTTAGTGAACACCGATAAACTTTGATCGTGCTTCTATGATATGCCTGAACACTTATCACAGTCGGTCGTGCTTCTGTAGCGTGCCTGAACACTTATGGGCTCCCTGCTGAGTCGACTGAGTGATTGACTGGCTTGCGTGGTCACCTGCTTTCCTACTGAGATTTTGGTGGAGTTTTAGTCTCAGTAGATTCCAGACATTCTGGGATTATTTTCAGAGATCTGGCTCTCCTGAGAGGCGTGGCACTCCACTGATAGGATAAACACGCACTGAGATCGACCCTGTCTACCGACCATTGAAAACAAGGAAACTCCAGAACCACCAAACCCTGTGTTGAAGGAGGAATCAAGGAAGAAACCAATACAACTAAAACGGAAAGACTCCCTGACTGAAAGACCGGTATTTGCAGCCCCCATCAAAGGTCATCAAATCCCAGGAGAAGCGAGCCAAAATATTGGGAGTTCCACAGGAATAAGACATGCAAAGAAACCAACCAAGCCCATGAAGATAAGCCGCAAGTTAGTAGTGGACCAGTCTGAAGACAAAAACTATCACTGTACATACAGGTTATGATGGTATATACACCAATTACATTTTTACAATGATTGACAGTAGTTTACAGTTTCTAGTTGCACCGTGTGTAAAATACACGCAATGAGAAAAGTGGATTTAGTCAAAGAAGGGACGTGAGAGTTCCTGGGTGACAGTCCGGATGGAGAGGGGCGTGTCTTCTTGAAAGCGTAGCTGCTACGCGTGTTTCGTATTTGTCCGTGGAGTTTGGTTGAATTCCAGCCTCCCCCCCTGTGCGCGCGTGTGTGTGTTGTCCTCCCATTTACAGGGAAGCGTAACGTATACAATACATGATCGTTCCGAAGCGTACAGGACGGGAATCGACATTTTGTCGGCCTAGGCTGCGAGCAGGACAGGGTTTTCTCATGTGATGTTTGCGGAGCAAAAGTCCGTCGTTTGGTGAGCATGGAAGTACCGGACAAAGTAAGCGGAGTTGATTCAAAGAAGTGACCGCTACAAAACCACTAGAGGAATGTGCATAATCAGCAAATCAAACAAGAGGGAGGTGGACCAGGACGCAATATGGATGATAGAGGGAGCAAGTAGAGCAATAGATTATGGTCACCAAGGGTAATTTGCAGTGGAGCAACCGACACAAGAAATGCAAAGCACGAAACAATTCTCGAAAAGATCAGACACCGAGTGAGATGATTATCAATAGACAATCCAGTTATAGTTTACAGCTGCTCTTTGTAAGTTATGCGAGCGAAGAGAGAAACCAACCACCTGACAGTTCACTGATTGTCTCCGAATGTTGACGGATCAACAGCCAATGGATGTCATTGAGCTGTCGATGTCCCAACAAATTACCAAATGCCTGTTTCCCTGTAAAACAGCTGTTGAGCTTGACTTCACATCGAAGAGGACGAGAGTTTGACGCATACAAAATCGTACGTAAGTCATTGACCGGAACGAATGATGTATATTGGATGGAAGTTACCTTCTAGTCAAGTAAAACTTTTGGCACATCAGTTTATTGTATGGTCAGCTTCTATGTAGGATGTCGCTCATGCAGGGATGGGAAAATACTGTATTGCAAAATTAGCGTGACTCGCCTTTAAGCGACCACTTCTGATGATATAAACGAGACAAGCTCGACGAAAGTGCACTGGATATCTTTTTGAAAACATTCGTGTGCGGTCCCACAACTATTCAAATTTGCAATGTGGTTCACTGTTATCAGACTAAAGACGCTAACTCCCCCTCTGAAGAGTCCATTCCTCTGTTCGTCATGTCCTATCCCGGGGCTTACCGCACTTTAGGTATGAGAAGTGAGGATCAGCTGCACCAAACCAGTTGTGAATGACGTAGATTTGATTAGTGAGTATAAAGTCAGGCGTTTAAATTAACCAAGACCATCAAGTAGGAAGGAATACGCGCAATAATAGGTAATCAAAGTTGATCACATTCACGTTCGGCAATACATACGTAATTGGCAGGCACGAAACCACTTTTATGAAACTGCTGCAGCACTAGCTAGATTACTTAATTAAAGTGGTCAGGCAATAGGTGGGATATGGTTGGAACGGAGGTCAAGATGGTGTCCCTCTGACCCCTTTGCACCCGTCCGATGATGTTGCAGGGTGGGGCTGGAATCAGCTTGCTCCTGTCAATTATCGCCTCATTTCCAAGTCTTGAAGTATCTTTCGTCTGCGGCAGTCAAACATTCTAAATTTTTCCGTCTCCCTCCTGCTTCAGTAGCCTTTCCAATTTACCTAATCGAATGTGGTCACTGACAGCGCTCGAGACATTAGTGATTAAGGCGCCAGCTTATAGACCGGGAGGTCCACGGTTCGAATCCTACCTCACATCTCGTCTGCTCCCATCTAGGCTTGGGCAACCAGGATGTATCCCAGAACTCGGGCCTCCTTCCACTGGCATAGTAGCTAAGCACCGAAAAGGTGCCACACCTGAACGACTTTTTTATACTTGTTTTGCGCATTTCCGACCACTCTTGTGTTCCGCTGATTGACGGGGGTACATTTAGGAAAATTGGAGCTTGTCTTCCGCTAGTTTAATAATCCTCCGCAAATTCTAGTTATTGAACCGCCACTCATGGTCTAAAGTCTGTGGTGAGATCCCTTCCACCCGCATCCCAACTTCAGGCTTCTGCACCAGTGCTATCCCATTTATTAATGACCTATGGGGCGAGATGGCCCAAGTGAGAAAGCGCGAATTTGCTGACCGGAAGGTCCGTGGTTCGAACCCGACCTCCACTTCTTGACTTCCCCCTGCCTATGGTTGGGAAACCTGGCAGTATCGCAGCCCTC